GTGTGTTATTGTTCATCACATCATAAGTGATGATTGACTTCATTTTGACATAGATCACATATTTAAAATGACGGTTATGAAGTGAGTGCACTGAATGCACCCAAAAAAATGAGTGCACTGAAGACGCCACCATATATATGGCGAGTTCTACGGTAACCAAGGTGAAATCCGGAGTACCGCATACCTTGAATATGAATACGCTATCCAGACCTTGAATTGAGCCCAAAGCATGAGATGTCAATCATATGCGATTCTTTTAATGTTAAAAATGAAATCAAATAACACATCATGTATGTATGTATATCCATGTGTAATAAGAATAATGTTTTCTTGTCATTGAAATAAATAAATAAAAGTAGATTTTTTCCCTCCATGATTTGCCATGGTATCATATTTAGGTATCTTTCTTCTTCCAAATCGATCTAGGGATTCCCTACCGATCGGCCCAATTTTTCGGCCAAAATATGCGATCCAGTTCCTTCCGTTTCCGCTCAATCTCTTACAATGGCTACTCTGGCCTATCTTAAGTTCAGTCTTCCTAGTATCACACAAGATTCGGCCCATCCATACCACCGTTGTCACCATCGTCTTCAATGACAACAACTAATACTCTTGGGCGAGGTCCATGCATGCGAATCACACTTCTGGTCATTAACAAGTTGCCACTCATTGTTCCTACAATCATTCCTTCGTCGGCTGGCATTCCAATTTACAAAGCATGAGATCGAACTCTGCCATGTCATGGTCCTAGGATGGATTTATTGATCCCTCGCACTAGAAATTGCGCAAACCATCCTATGGTTCGATCCATAGATACAAAGGAAAAGGAAGCACAGTTACCCACCGAGCTACAAAGCAAAAAGGAAAGATCAACATTATCGTGGTTGGAGTATCAAAGAATTTCAACCCTAATTCTGAGGATAATGGTGGCGAGGGTCTTTGCGGTGTTATCAGATCAGTGGTGCTCACCTCTGGTAAGTATTGCTCTCTGTTTGCTCAACTGCCTGTCTCGACATCTCTACCAAGTTACGTCTCTTTTATTGTTTCTTCTTCTTTCTCGACTCTAGCCTCACACTTTGCCTATTATTTTTTACACACTACTATTGGACATTTTGATTGATGGCATTATCGACTAGGTCATAATTTTATTCCTGATCTTAGTGATACTAGTAACAAATGTAAGAATTTGCACTATTTTGTAGGTCCTATTGCTAAACAACATCATTTACCTTTTCAATCTAGCATGTCTCATTCTGCCGTTTCACTTGATTTGATTTATATTGATATATGATATCCTTATAGTGTCTCTACTATTGATGGACATCGGTACTTGGTACTGATTGTCGATGATCACTCTCACAGCACTTGGTGTTACTTGTTCGCTTGAAAGTCAGAGGTTCAATTTCTTGTTCAATCCTTTTGTTCCTATGTGCAAACTCAATTTTCTCAAAAGATTAAAAAATATTAGAACAGACAATGATGTTGAATTTAACATGTTATCGTATTATCGTTCCTTAAGCATCATTCATCAAACTACATGTAATACTTCATAATAATAAACACGTCGTGTTGATAGAAAGCAACGACATATCATTATTGTGGCCCGAGTTCTCCTAATACAAGCGAATCCCTCGATTAAGTTTTGGGTAAATGCAATCTTGCATGTTGTCTTATCTCATAATCTGGTAACCAACCCCTACATTGATCAATCATTCTCCTTTTGAGCTATTGTTAGGTGGACAGCTTGATAGCCTGATTATAGTAACTTTCTTTTGTTTGGTTGACTACATATATTAAGCTTTGACTTTAGCTCATAATTGTTCTAAATTTTCTCCTAGGATAGAGCCTTGTCTTTTTATTAATTTTCTATTTGCCACCAAAGGCTATAAGCTGTATATCTTACATTATCATAGTGTTTAAGAATCCTGTGATGTAATTAGCCTTTAGTTATTACTATAATCAGGCTGTATCTTAGAAGATGTTAATCAAACCTATTCACTTACTAATTATTACCCAAATGTCAACTTCCAGCTAGCAATTTTGTTAGTAATATTGATTTGGCAACATGATACTGACTTAGAAAAGACAAATGGAGGTTAACATTCCAAAACTTAAGTTGCCTGCTTTACTTGCTTTAGCTTCCATTAAGAATTTGCTTGTGCAACAATTAGATCTTAACAATGTTTTAACATGGTGATTTGATAGAAGAATTTTATATGAAACCTCCTCCAGACTTGTCCTTGCCTTCTATGAATCTGGTTCATAAATCATATGTTGCCTTAAATAAGCCATACATAATGCCTGGAATCACAAATAACTCTATTTCTTCTAAATGCTGGTTACACTCAATCTAAGAAAAATTATTCATTGTTTATTAAGTCTAACATGGATAAATTTATAGTTGTCGTAGTATATGTTGACGATGTCATATATATTAGCTGGGTTTTTTGTTTTTGGACAAAATATGAGCAAGTGATGTCATTGATTCTCTCATAACTTACTTAAGCCACTCGTAGATGTTGTCTTTGAGATCAAGATCTTGTAAAACTAAAATATATTTTAGGCTTCGACGTGGCTAGTACATATGCTAGTTTTTCTATTTGTCAACTTAAATACACTCTATATTTTCTTAGTGATACATGGTTTTGTTGCAAAACCTGCTGCCACATATACCATTGTCGGTGAAAGTCAGCTATCAATTCATGACGTTGAATATCTTTTTGATCCTAAATTGCATCATAGACTTGTAGGTCGTCTTTTATATCTATGTCATACTCTTCTGGATATTATTATATTCGTCAATCATTTTACTCAATTCATGAGCAATCTTTCTAGCATTCATCTTAATGTTGCATATAGAGTGCTTAAATATCTCAAGAACAATCCTAGACATGGTTTATTTTTTCCTAGTTACTCTTCAATTAAACTTATCGGTTTATTGGATAATGATTGGGCTTGCGCTTCGGATTCTCGTAGGCTGAGTATTGGATATTGTGTCTACTTAGAAGACCCAGTTATTACTTGGAGATAGAAGAAACAACCCACCAATTCTCATTCCTAAGCCGAATATCGTGCAATGACATATTTAACATGTGAAGTACAGTGGTTGCCGGAGGCGGATTCATGGAGCTTTGGGAGTGTCCGGGACGCCTCTAAAATTTGGGAACACGATTATTCAACTCTCGATAGTAGTTAACATATGGATAAAAAAATATTTAAGTGGTAGCGGAACACCGATAAAATTTGCAAAAACGATTATCCAACTCCTAGTAGTAGTTTGCATATGGGTAAATAAAAACATTTAAATGTTAGTCTATGTGATTTGAACTTGGGTTGTTGCTACAATAAGTAAACATATTTTCATTAGACTACAACTCATTTGTTCTTGTATTTTAAATCCATATATAATAGTAAAAAGCTGATTCTTATCTCAAAAGCTAACAATTAAACTTATTCACATGCTTCTCTTGTATAGTAATATATATAGAGAGTTGTTAGACAACGATTCTATTTTATAATATTTCCAAAATACGAACATATCATGTGCTTTGTTGTATTTCATACAAATCAAAAAAATTTATTTAATAATTATTTAATTTAATTTCTAGGAGAGGACACTCCTATGTTAAATCTTTGAATCTGCCACTGGTGGTTGCATTACATTTTTAAAGATCTTGGAGTTCATTTACATCTCTTATCACTTTATTCCATGATAATCGGCCCACTATAATATTAGCTAAGAATCATGCTGCCCATGAACGAACAAACCATATTGAAATTGATACTCACATTAAGTTCTTTGAGATTTATTGATTCATGAACTGGTAATAAATTTTTTTTAAGATATTAAAGTGTTTAATAAAAAGGACTTGCTTTTGAATCCTCATGGATCCGCAATATTAGCAGTTGCTTCACAAGGTATGGAGGACTAGTGTGAACTTCCCGATTGTTAGTTGATTGTACCCGATAAAGCCAAGGTATATGATAAACACATACTTTTTAGATGGTTGGGAACTCCAATATTTGAATTTAAATGGTCAGTAGCTAGCTTAATCAGTTGGGATTCGATAGACACACCTAATTATTTGTGATAAAATAATACAGATCATTTTTCTCAAGAATATAATAGCAAGATACATATAATTTATGAGTCAGACTGGTATACTCATGGAGTACTCCAGATATTCCTGATAAAATAAACCCCGGCTCCAATAACTATTCAATTTAATAAAAAACTGTAATTGATTGTAGAAATTGGCCGAAGTTCATAAAATATATATATATACTATACTATACTAATAGAGTATACGGTCACCCTAATCTATATCTCATACGTATATTTGTTAAACCTTGTTTAACTTTCTTGCCATTTTTGAGACAACATGGTCAAAGAGATTCTTTCAACATTGAACCACCCTAAATTGGTAACTCAAGTGATCAGTCGTACACGCATGGGCACCAGAGTTTTCAGTTCTTCTGCTAACAATTAATGATGTTTTCTCTTGATAATGGCGTCGTAGTAGTAATGTAGCATCTTATAGTATACGTACGGTTTTGGAGAGCTGGGTCCAACCCAATTGTGAGACCCACATAAAAGCAGAAGAGGTGCCTTAGCTTGTATGAATATGAACTCAGCTTGCTTACCCCAGATCAAAGTTGTCAACCTGCGGGTTAACCCACTTTGACCCTGACCCGGTGAGAAAAACGGGCCGCACGCACCCGCCGGGTCGATCGCTATAAGGTACTGGGTTGGAGGTCAAATTGTGCCATTTTTTTCTTTGTTTTGTGAAATGCGCCTATTTTTCGATTTTTCTTTTCGCCTAACTCAATCTTTGGAATCCTAAGTTGAACATTTGAATATTAATATTATATAAGTGTGTGTGAATTTTCACTATATGTTGAATCTAAATACAAAATATTATTTTGGTGTAATATTATATGTTATCTCATATGTTAGATGAGATTTTATATAATTTATCAGGATAAGTGCAATATAATGACGCTTTCCATATTTCCGGGCTAAACCGGACTAAAACGGGTGACCCATTAATCCTTGACCCACTAGCTCAACCGGGTCCGGGTCAACCCGCGGGTTGATAACCTTGCCTCAGACCATTATCTCTACTCCATCTTCGTTTTTTTTTTTTTTTTCCGCTCCTCCACCTGGACCTGGTGTAGTAACGGCTTGGCCCCCCCTTATGATTGTATTTTGGTTCTCTTAGCTTCCTCTTCTCTCTTTCTCTTTCCTTCAACCTCTTTACTCCTCTTGCCTTATAAACACATCTCTTTTCTTCACTTCTTCTTCTCCGCCGCGCCTCCTCCATCTCCTCTCCTCGCCCATCCTCCACAAAATCCCTTCTCCATCTCTTTATTGTTTCAGTACTCCATACATGTCGATACAAGTAGCGACAGAGGGTGCTCTCCTTTGGGGGAATGAAAAATGGGTTTCGACGGATCCAAGTCGTGCTTCTAGCCATAGTACTGATCAAGAGAAACTGTCTGGGAAAACTACTATCCCGAATCTGCCAATGATCAACGCATCAGTCTGCGCAGAAACCGAAAAGGGTACCTCCTCCAGCGTCGGTAAGAAGCGAGAGAGAGGAGAGCAGGCGAAGAAAACTGGAAAAGGAAAGGGACCGAAAGGAAAAACCAGCTGCGAATCTGCAGACCATGGGGTGCACATATGGACAGAGAGGGAGAGGAGGAAGAAGATGAGGAACATGTTCGCCAACCTTCATTCCTTGCTCCCTCAACTTCCCCCCAAGGTATTAATTACCACTTTTCATCTCCATATTTTGTTCTTCATTCATTGTTACCCAAATTGGAGATTATGGGTTCGCGCGCGTTGATCTCGAAGCTGCTGAAGCAATAATTGAAAGATATAAAAAGGCGTTTCTCTTTACAGCATACATACATGTCGTGTGTGTTAAAAATGCCATATATCATGCAAGAGGTTGAATTTTGAGTCTGACAGGCTGACAAATCCAGCATAGTGGACGAAGCAGTGAGCTACATCAAAACCTTACAGCAAACCCTTCACAAGCTTCAGCGACAGAAGCTGCAAAAGCTCCAACAGCCGCCGGCAACCACGGCTGGCGACGACGACATGATGATGATGGTGATGTGTGACAACAATGTTAGTGCCGCTAATTGTTGTGGCAATAATAACAATAATGCAGCCGCGGTGTTCCATACTTGGACCTCCACCAACCTTGTCCTTAACATCTGCGGCGACGAGGCACAGTTCAACATCTGCTCCCCGCCGCCGCCCGCCGCCAGCGGCACCATCTTCACCGCCGCCTGCTATGTGCTGGAGAAGCTTGGCATCGAGGTTCTCTCGGCTCATGTCTCTTCCAATTCTGATCGGCGGCTGCTCATGATTCAAGCGCGTCATAATCGTCCTGTGAGTACATTTATATGTAATTGAAATTTATTTTTCATTTAGTTTATACTAATTATTTCAGTCTACAACTTTATACAAAAAAAAAACAACTATTGGTGACAAGAATTGTTTAACAGTGATGCCTAAGACCTCATACTCAGCTGGCAAAATACAGCTAATATGAATTTAAGAGCTAATTCATGATAATAAAAAATTTAAATCGAGTCGTTGGAAAATAGGAACACGAGACTTTCGTATGTAATTTCCTTTAGCGGTTAGCTATTTGCATGCCTTCCATTACAGAAGATGTGAGTTGGTGAGTGTGCTTTTTTATGTTGTACACATAATTAATGCTGCATGCCTAGCTTAATGCTAACTGATTGATGAACTTTTTTTTTATCTGTTACAAGTTAATTAGTTAAGTTTTCTTACATAAATTACCACTCTTCTGTCTAGTCGTTGAATTAGTTTCACTCTGACGCTAGAGGTGGAAAGTTAAGATTTAAGAAAGAAAAAGTGTAAAGAGGGGCGAAAAGATGGTAACTTATGAAGGGTGAAGTAGACAAACTTTATGAATTCTTCTGAAATGAACTTCATGAGTTTTTATCTGAAATCTTTTCTTTTGGTTGCCAATTACTAATTAATTAAACCAACAATATTTGTAATTAAGCAGGAGAATAATGGAGGTGGCCGTGACCATGTTTTGGGAGCAGATGATCAGGAAAATGTTGTTGTAGAGATATTCAAACAGGCTGCAGCTGAGATGCTTTCTTACCTCTGTTCTTCACCCAATATAATTAGTGATTATTAATTAATTCAGTAATACCACCCAATTTTTAGGGTTTCATATAATTAGTGTCTTCGTTACTCTTTTTGGTGTCCAATGTTAATTTGGGTTTGCTCTATCTATTTTGGGGTGTTTCTGCCAAACAACTTTGTCATATAGATATTTGGGTTTTGTTCTGTACAGGAGAAGCATGGATCCATCTCCTTCATTTATTATGCACATGTATGTGTGTTTTGTAGGTTTGATTGCGCCCCGTTGGATCCGTTAGCTTTATCTATTTAATGAATACATAAAGCGAATATCCATTTTGGTTCATTTGATAAGGGCACTTTCCATTAGGATGGTTATCCGATGGTTCGGGCAATCTTCGTCACTTAAATCCACTCAACCATACAAGAATGAATTGGGTAAAAGATGACCCACTATATATCCACCCACATAGATGAGTGAATTGGATGGGTGGATTCGAACATAATGAATTGCATCTTCGATCTGGAAGAGCTCATTTTGTACATGGGACGAAAAGTTTATATTCTAAGTTTTTATGATCACTTGCCCAACATTATTAATGGCTAACTGGGGGATCAAGCTCCACACATATATCTTGGGGGTAAGAAACCCTTAATCTAGATTTAGAGAACATGTGGGAAGTTATACTCAGATCTGATACTACTCGACAGGCAAAAGCAAATGCCTATCTTGGACTCTCTTTTGCCAATTAGGAGTCGATGAGACTATCCGAGAGAGTATAGGGAAGTACAAGTAGATCATTCTCTTAGAGATAGAGGAGCCAATCTATTGTGTTCTATTGATCAAGTTCATGAACACCATAGAGATAAAGTCTTTTCGAGCCACCTCCAACGAACTCCCAACATTTCATTTCAAATCTGTTGTGTGCAGCAAGCTATGACGATCTTGGATTTCATAAGGAATCTAGACATATATCTGTGGGGTTCTCATTTGTGATGCATTAGGTCTTCGAATACAAACTATCATGTGTTCGCAATTACTCATCTACCATGAATGACTAGCCGAGGTAATCGACCAAGAGTGATGAATCATAAAAGTGAACTCAAGTTCTACATATTATTACTAAACAAAAGTCTGAATACACATATGTTCTACCCCCTAAACAACATGGGATGTTTAAAGAGAGTGCACCACATGGTTGCTCCTGTTATCTCATATGAGGCTAAACTACTAAATTTTCATATCATGGAATATGTCGCAGTTCACCGGTTAATGGATATACTTTTGACCTTTGGAATTCCATATGCCTTTACAAATCCCTTATTTATTTTAAGCCCCCTAAGTCTAAAGTACAAAGAAAACGTATGATGTACAAGGATTTTTTTACTTCATATTCGACTTTGAACTTCTTTTCCTTACATTGTAAAGCAAGAAAAAACTTGTAGAGTTGTGGCGGGGTCGGAGAAGGTCTTCAGACATTGTGGTCATCACGTAGTCATAATGGGTTGAAATATGGTATGCACATCTCTTACGGACTCTTGGGCTTCTAGTCCAAAACTCAGCTCTTTTGGGTCACAGTGGATAGATAAACGGCTTGGGTTGTCGTGTGTCTTTTTGCATCTACAGGCTTGCGCTTTACTCCAAATCTATTCTGGATATCAATCTTGGCCATCTTCTACCAGAAACCACCAAAGACTACTGTCACGGACCAACTCTTGGCTATGTGGCACTTAGCACTCAAGTCTCGTTAGAGCGCTAAGTCAGCCTAGCTCGCAATCACTCAAACTCACAATTGTGGAGGAACTCTATAGATGGAAAGCTCTCTATTTCTGGATGAATGAAAAATGAGGGAGAGGGGAGCTTATATAGGCATCCTCTCCACTAAGTACAATGTATGTGGTCGTCATAAATGAACGAACCTAGAAGTCCCCCCATACATGAATGATAGTAAATAAGGTGAATGCATGAGCACTCGGACATGAATAGTAATAAATGAGGGGGATGTGTATAAATTGGAACATGAATCTAGAGATGCATGCATATACCTACACCATTCTAGAATCTTCCTTGTTACATTCTCCCTCACTCAAACATGCGACGCCCTCGTCGTAGACTCCACATGAAATGCCGCGATCAAGTCTTTGTGACGCCATAGCGAAAGCTCCTTTTCCCAAGTGATTCGCTTTCTAGACGCCCCTTCCACTTGACAAGGTACTCCACATAGCTTGGGTGAACGCCACGCCTAGGCACAACACGATGAGCCATGCCCTCCTCCACTTCGTGCTCATATTTTGTGGTGACGAGAGTTGGTGACCTCTTCCTCATCCCATCTTCCTCGTCTTCATGATAAGGCTTCAATTGACTAACATGGAAGACAGGGTGAATCTCCAAGTGCGATGGCAACTCAACTTTGTACGCCACTGTGCCAATCCTCTTTAGAATAGGATATGGCCCTTCATATCGTCGCAGCAACCCCTTGTTCACATTTTTAGGTGCTTGAATCGATGAGGGAAGAACTTCACCATCACCAAGTCTCCCTTGTCGAATTCCAAGTGACACCGCTTCTTATATGCCCACTTCTTCATCTTATTTATTGCTCGAACGAGATAAGACTTAGCCAGCTCCATCTTCTCATGCCATCTTCGTGCAAACTGGTAGGAAGAGGGACTGTTGCCTTTGTATCCCGCCATCACCGTACTAGGTGTCAACGATTGTGGCCCGGTAGCCAACTCGAACAGGCTCATGCTTGTGGCTTCCCTTCGGTGTAAGTTGCAGGAGAATCGGGCTACATTCAATAGCTTCACCCAATCCTTCTGATTGGCACTCACATAATGCCTCAAGTAGACTTCCACCAAATCATTGGCCGGCTGGGTTGGCCCATCCGTTTGAGGATGAAAACTCGTGGAGAAGTTTAGATTGGAGCCCATCATATTGAACAAGTCCCTCCAATACTTCACGACATGCTTGGGAAAAAAAAGCGGGCTGCATCCTCTACAGTCATATCTTTGGGCCCCGCGATGAAGATTTTGTACTTTGAAAATCTGTCGATGACGACCATGATGGAAGCACTCCCTTCGACTTTGGGAAGGACGATGAAAAATTCATGCTAACACTTTCCCAAGGTCGTTGTGGAGTGGGTAATGGCTCCAACAAGCCTGCCAGACTCCGTTGCTCTATCTTGTCTTGCTCGCAGACAAGGAAAATCTTTGATGTAAAGTTCCATGTCTTGCATACGAGGCCAATAGTAAGCCTCTTCAACAAGAGCTTGTGTGCGTTCGATGTTGGGGTGACCAACGCATTTTGAGTCATGACACTCTTTCATGATCTCCCTTCGTAGATTATCCCACCGCGGCATGAACACTCGCTCCCCCTTAGTCACGATGAGCCCACCTTTCATCCAAAACCGTCAAGTCTTCCCTTGTTTGATGTACTAGACCACGGTTTTGGCGAAGAGGTAATGACCAAGGCCTTCTTCAATTCCCTCCCTCAAGGGGAACTATGGCTCGATGATGGAGGCAAGTGTGCTCTTTCGACTAAGAGCATCAGCAACAAACCTGGCTTTCCCCTGCTTGTACTCCAACACAAAATCAAACTCCGCGAGGAAATCTTGAAACCTTGCTTGCTTGGGGCTAAGCTTCTTCTGCGTGAGGAAGTAGCTCGTCGCCACGTTGTCCATCTTTTCCACGAACTTCGACCCGAGCAAGTAATGCCTCCATGTTCTCAAACAATGGACCACTGCCATCATCTTCTTTTTTTGCACCGCATATCTTCTCTCGGCCTCATTGAGCTTGTGGCTCTCAAATGCAGTGGGGTGTCCCTCATACATCAACACACCACCGATAGCAAAATTGGAAGCGTCATTTTGTACCTCATACGACTTGGTGGGGTCGGGAAGTGCTAGCAATGGCTCGCTCATCACCGCATCTTTCAAGGCCCCAAAAGCTTCATGGCATCGATTCGACCATTCCTAAGCCTTGTTCTTCTTTAGAAGATCCGTCAAACTTGCTGTAAGAGCAGAGTATCCCTTGATGAATCTCCTATAATGGTTGTCCATGCCGAGGAGTGATCACAACTCGGTGACCCTTAATGGTGGCTCACATCCTTGTCTCGCCTCCACCTTCGCTCCGTCCATCTTGAATTTGCCTCCACCAATGTTATGGCCGAGGAAAGGAACCTCCGCGGTGGAAAATGTGCACTTCTTCTTGACATATATTCTTGTTGTCTCTGAGGAATTGGAATACTTGTCGTACATGCTTGGCATGTTCATCGAGTGTGTTGATGTACACTACGATGTCATCCAAATACACCACGACGAAGAGATCCAAGAACGGCTCGAATATTTGATTCATTGGAGTGCAAAACGTAGCATGAGCGTTGGTTAGACCAAAAGGTATAACTAAGAACTCGTATGAGCCATACCTCGTCATGCAAGCAGTCTTCACTTCGTCCCCCTTGGCTATCTTCACTTGATAGTACCCCGAGCGAAGGTCAAGCTTCGTGAACCACTTTGCTTCTCCAAGTTTATCAAACAAGTCGGCAATGTTGGGGATTGGCCACTTGTTCTTCACCGTGAGCTTGTTAATAGCTCGATAGTCGATGCACATTTGCAACAAACCATCCTTCTTCTTTTGGAACAACACGAGTGCTCCATAGGGGGATTATGATGATTGCATGAAGCCAGAATCCATCAACTCCTTTAGTTTCTTCCTCAATTTCTACAACTCGCGAGGGGCCATGCGATAAGGTGCTCTCGCTGGCGGCGTTGCTCCCGACTCAAGCTCAATGTTGTGATCGACTTCTCTTCTTGGCGGGAGCTTCTTTGGAAACTCTTTTGGCATCACGTCTATGACTCCTCCAACACACCCTCGATGAGAGGTGTTGTGGCCATTGAGTCTCCTTCTTCCGTCATCTGCAAAGTAACAAGGAACGTGAGTTCCATCTTCTTCACTCCATTCACTACTTGCATGGATGATGGAGCTCTTCTCGGCCCTTCTTCGCGCAACAACTTCACTGCACAAAACTTATCTCCCTTATTAAGGCTGAGAGTGTTGTAATTCATCGCCATCACCGTGCCCTCCTTCACCATGAAGTTACAACCATGGATGACCAGATGATCATCCTTGTGATGACGCTGAAGTCGGCAACACCTTCCCAACCTTCAATCTTCAATGGCACGTTTTTGACAACTCCATGGATCGGTATTGCCTCAGAGTTGACGGTCTTGAACGATCCTTGCCTCTTCTCATACGCAATCCTCAAGCGCTCCACCTCCTCCACTCTAAAGAAGTTGTCGGTCTCACCGGTATCAACCAATGCTCTCGCCTCGCCTT